ACAATTATCAATCTTGCCATTCTCATGACTATACATACGTAGAATGACTCTTTGTTTTTATGTATTATTTAAGTAACTTTTTATATACCTTTAATTTTTTTATTACATTCTATTTTTTATTGCATATTGATACGAAAATAGAAGATATATAATCCACCTTATTTGGTAACTTTTGAGAACTTATTACGAAATACTTATTAATTTGGATAGTTATTAAATTTAGAAATTAGAACCACATCAATTAATAGTCATTCATACACATGGGCTATTAAATTTAGAAACTGGAACCACATCAATTAATAGCCATTCGGAAACAAAAGAGTAGAATCCGCCTTATTTGGATATTTTATACTACGTATCAATTATTTAATTATTTATATACCTTTTGTTTTTATTAAATTCTATTGAAGAAATAAATTATCCGTGTTTTGGCCACCTAACAGATAAACCAACCAAATTCCTATTAATGACTTAATGTTTTTCATCAAAGTTGTTTTATATACTTGGTCTAATATAAAGTAATTTGATAATACTAAAGTTTAGTATTTTATTTTTGTAAAATAACTTTTTACATTGATTAATGATCCATTTTTTACATTTCAATATAGCCAAATAATGAGTAAAATGTTAAAATTTAAAAATACTTATTTCATACCATGTTGAATGAGAAATATATAAAAAATAGTGTTTTGAGAAGCTTAATTAATAAAGTAATTTAAAGTATGTGAGATAAATTAAGAAACTTTTGTGTGAATTCTTTAAAATTGGGTTCATAACAATTGTGTGAATGCTTAAGTAGAAGTCCATTTTAAAAAAAATTCATATAATTTTTATTTTATTCTATTTATGACACACATAGTATATTTTATTTTATTTTTCATAATTTGGGAGATTCCATCAATTCAGTCTAATCAGTTAGATTTAATTCATTATAGTAGAATCAAACGATTAAACTAATTTTAGTATTATCAAATGGCTTATATATTAGACCAAGTTTCTTTTACTTTTGCATCACATTAAGAGAACGTTTGGTAACATCAAAATCAGCTGAATCGGCTTATTCTGCCGAAGTTTATGAAGTTCTGGCTGAAGTGACTGCATTGGCTGATTTTAGTGCTTTATGTAAAAATTATATTTAAAATATATTTTATTAATTAAATAAAGGAAAAATTATATGAAAAATAAATAAAATGGTTTTCTACAATAACTTCAACCTATACATCCATAAAAGTAACTTTAACCCTATGTTTTTTTAATATTACACAATTTAATGCGCAAAATCAAAATTTACGTATTTGATGAAAAAGTTAACCGATAAACCTGATAACCCAAAAATGTGGTTACCAAATGAGCTCTAAAATAAACTACGTATATGATTTAAAAAAAAATCAATTTTACAATTCGCTAAATTCGTATATGATGCACGGGCTTGAAAACTAGTTAGAAATTGATTTTAAAACAATAAATGTGAAGTTGACATGTGACACTTTCTTTAATTGTAACCTTGAAACGTATTATGTATCTTTATCTTTATATAATATAAAGTAGCAAAGTTGCTACAATTTTTGGAGGTAAAATTCCCGCCCATTTAAAGGGCATAATTGGTAAGTTATATATGAATCTAGGCTTTGGACGTACTACTATAACAAAAACTGCCTTATATTGAATTTAATAAGGTATTAAGGTGAGATATATTTGACAAGTATGACTCACTATTATGCTAACTATCTAGGAGAAGAATATTAATACTACCAACGGATGATATTAATATGATAATACTACCATATATAGTGGCTGATATTAATTATACCTTGAATATTTATTAATTATTATTTAGGTTGTCCAATATAATGCAGTACAAAATATGGCATACATGACGTAGTGCATACCATATTATAAATTTGAGTACCATAATGGGCATAATAATAATAATTATTTACCAACGGATGAATACATAATTATTATTTTTTTAGCAAAATTGCTACATATAAAATTCCCTTCCAAACAAAGGGTAAAATTGAAAAAAAGGGCACTCAAAATTATTTAGGGAAAGAGCAATCACGTCCTTATGGCCTCTACAAGTTTGTTTAACACAAGTAGCCAAAAAGATATTTTGTGAGTTTTTTAGTAGCTATTACTCCGTAGTTTTCAGTGATTTAAAAGATTTTTAAAAGAAAAAGTGATAATTGTTTGGTAAAAAACTGACTGTTTGATTTAGTTCTGTTTGATACACAAGTTGATAGGACTAATTGATACTAAAAGTTACAGACTTTTCTCAGATGTTACTCCATGCAGCATCTAAAAAAGATATTTTATTTTTTGAAAAACTCTTAAAAATTGTCATGTCAAACACACAACTATTTTTTTTATAGAAATTTTATACCCGGCTGCTCGATCATGTCATAAATATACCCTGCGCTACGTCTATTGAGTAACCCTACTTTTGAAATTAATTAGTGTTGGGGTACTCAAGAATGAGTTGTATCCTTTTTTATAAAATTTTAGTATTGATTAATTAAATTCTTGACAAAATTTAAGCTGACACCAAAAAGTATTAAAGCTATCAGATTTTAAGAATTTTATAATCTTTTATTAACATAATACTACTATTAACATATATAATACTTCGTACGTATGTCTAACCATTATAAAATGAATGGAGAATACCAAGTATTATGTTAGTATATTCGAATTCGTTCATTAGTAAGAAGAAACAATTAATTAGAACTATTATATATAGCAGTCATTTTAGAGAACTAAAAATGTAACAATGTATAAGTATGAGAGATTAAGATATGAGTTTTTCCTAAAATGTGACTAATAAAAAAATGTGGACTTTTGACTTAGTACTACGTAACTTTTGTGACTATAATTGTGTTCAAAATTTACATCGTAGTGACTACATGTGGTCGTTACGAGGTAAACTTTGAATACAATTATAATCACTAAAAGTTATCAAGTACTTTTTTGTGCATCAATTTTTAGAAGTAATTAAGAGCATCCCCCATGTTAAAACATTAACGGTGTATATGTTGTATGAGAAATAACCAATTAAAAAATAATAAATAGAATATTAATCTCCTTATTTGAAGGATCTTACATCATTTTGGTAAATTTTCTTCACAATGTCAAGCACAATGTCTAGATGTAAACATTGTTATTGACATTGCAGGCAATAACTTACTAAAATCACATAAGACCGTGGAAAGAAGGAGAGAGAAATGTGATAAAATCAATTTTATTTTGTGATTATCTCTCTCATGCCACATGTGCATCATGAACATTGTAGCATTGAAGATACTCTAATATTAATAGAATTATAATTAGAGTAGATAGACCGCGTAGATTGGCACATAAATGAATCTCCGTACAAAATAGCCTATAAAATAAAGCATTCAAGTACCAACTTTAGAATTTATACAATATAAAATCACAAATGGAAAATCACCAAAAGCAGATCAAAATTTGTTAGTCACCAAAGAATGTCCATTGGGTTTAAACTCATTTATGCTCTACTAGGGTAATTGAATTGAATAGCACTATAAATATAACATAATTGAATAATTACATATATATTATTGTGAAATTATAAAATTTAGCACCCAATTTTTGTTTTGAAATTGCACCCTATTAGTCAAATTGCTATATTATATTTTTGCATCACGTGATTACATTGCTTTATGCATGTTCGTTATTTCATTTTTGAAATATTGAATACAATCTGTTTTTTGTAGTACTAAATATATATGATATACATCTTAACAATCTTTATAAATAAATAGTGACTTTATATATTATTACAGGTTATCTAATTATATCTAGCATTGATCCTTACATTTTAATAATTGGGGCAAACATGGAATAATCTTCTATGTTGAAACAAAGTGTGTTGAATCGGTGTGAAAATGCTATTCTTTCTCCTCAACTAATATTGCTATAAAATAAGAAAGTTAAGAAAGTTGGGATTTGAAGTTGCAATATGATTTTTTTCATTGTAATGTTTAATTAAAGATTATTGTTTGAAACTAGATTGTGAAGTGCCGGATCTGAACAGGTAGCTGGATGAAGTAGACTGTTTGGCAAAAATATGTGAAAGAATGTCGAGATAATATGAAATTACATTAAAAGACAAATAATTTATTAATAAAACAAGTGATCAACCAGGGACATAGCTGGGGGAACCTTGGCCCCCAGTCCAATCTAGGACCCTCACTCCACCATTGTATATTTAATATATACGGAGTATTAAAATACATTAGGACATCTGAAATCGTCCAGGCATTCTAATGTTTCTAAAACGGGATTCTAAAACAGGGACTACTATGACTTTTATGACTTCAAATAATGTTTCTCCATTTTTTTCATTATAGCTGGTTGGTCTTATAAGCATGTCATTGTAATTTGTAGAATGTAGGAGTGTGTAAACTGTAAAGTATGCAGGATTATTCTGAATTTCTTCTTAAGCCACGATAATACCATTTTCAAGCAATGTGGAAGTGATTAACTATAAAAAGAAACAAATATCTAAGAATTTCTAGCTGTGCCTGTAATTCAGCCCTTCATCCAAACACTATGTTATTTTTTAAACACTTGACTGAATTTAAGCAATTTCAACCAATTCTTAGCAAAATTGGTATCCCAAACATAGCCTAAGTATGTTATTTTTGGTCATTTTTTATTATAGTCTAATTGGCCTGTTTAGCATTTTGGGATTTTTGTTTTAATTACAATTCATTGCATTGAGTCAATAATATAGTTTTATATTCCTCATAAACGAAAATATAGTCAATTTGTTGTAACTTGAAGTGAAATAGTTTCAATTACATCATTTTCCCCGCAATTTACATTTCATAATTAATAAATAAATGATAAATTAGGTGTGATGCATTCTAAATGTACCAAAAAAAATAAAAAAAATGAAATATGATGACAACACAAACCTGAGATTTACCAGCCATTGAACTGTAGTCAAAGGAAAAGGTTATTTTTTATATGATTCACATTTTTCTTTTCCATACAAACTACCATTATATCAAAGGTACAATAAAATCTACTATACTATCTTTTCAATATAACAAATCACACTTTTCCAAAAAAACTAACAAATCACACATTACATACCATCAAAATAAAATAAAAATAAAGTATTTAAAAAAATCGTTCTTCTAATCTAGATGTATCCCGTGCATCGCACGGGTACTTTGTCTAGTTATTTATATATAGATATAGATATCACGATTTTTGGAATCAAACCAATTTCAATTGAACCAAAATTAGACACATTTGATATTACACTCCGGTCTTGATGCTAACAAACACTCCCTGGACATTTTGAGCCGCAGACAAAAAAAAATGGCACATCACCAATCAGAAACCCATTAACCTTTGCACCGGAATGTACACAGATGACTTCCAAAGTGTGAAATAACATCCACTAATGCACCATAGCCAGCCACAGCTGTGACCTGAAGAAAGTGATAGGAACAGCTTTTTGAGCATTTGCTTTTATCTATGAAAATAACAAGAGAGCATCAAGATCAATTATTTGGAATTTTTACCCCAGAAGGATGTAACGAGATTGAGAATGTAGATTCAGGAGCGCATTGAATCTGTGAAATAATCTCCCCACTCATACTGAACCGGCTGAGTATAGGTTCTGATCCTACTGTCAAAATCTAACATATAACCAAAAACCTTCAGGAAGAGAGAATTTAAGGACTACTAGCTAGTAAGTATATATGTTAGGAACCCCAAGAATCCAGAACAATTATAGAGAAAGATTAACAATGAAACAATCTGAAAATCTTTATTGAAGAGGAAGACCGATTACGGGAGAAAAGTAACAAGGCCGAAGCCTCCCAAAAGAGAAGAGAACGTGAGTCTCTAATCTTCCCAGTTCCCAGACCTAATGTCCAAAAAGCCTACTTACTACTCCCCTTTCCTGTCTATTTATAATAGAGACCCTTATTACTAATATTATTATTATTACTTCTATTATTAGTCTAATAGGTAGGTCCCTATCAATACCCCCCCCCCTAAACATCCACCTTGCCCTCAAGGTGGGCGGTAGGAGACAACCAAAATTTTCTCTTTATTCTTCTTCTTCCTTACACCTCTTCCTTGCCAATATCTTTCAAATTTCAGGATCCTGAACTTCATGACTTGAATCTTCCTTCTCACTGCTTCTTGCAGAAACAGCATTAGCTCCTATTCCTTCCAATCATCAATGTTAGGCCTGTGTCTTTGATCATGCTGGTACTGATCTTCACCCATCATCCCGTGCTCATTCTTCCATATGCTAATAGCTCTTGCTACAGGATATAACTCAAATCTTTGAGTTTCAGTTGCTTCACTCCTTGAAATTTCAGTCAGTAGCCAACTTATTTGAGAAGGAAAACCTCAAAGGTTTTAGCAGGTAAGGATACCCCTTATTCCAGTTGCAGTTCTCCTAACCAAGGATCAGGAAAGATTATTTCCCATGTAAGACTTCCATAATTGGCGTCCCAGCAAGTAAGCAGATTCTTCACCATAAGAAAACATTGCCATTTTCAAGCCTTGTTTCACCTTCACCTTTTCATTAGCTTCAATATTTTGTTCCACATAACTTCCTGCCGTTTTCTCAATGATATAACCTGTAATTCTGAACTCTCCTGCCACAAGGTCCACCCCTAAGTTGGCAGGTGAGTCACAACTAATTGGACCCTTCCCATCCAGCTGCACAATAGCAGAAGAAACAACTGGAGAATATTCTTGATGATCCTTTGAATTATAATGAGCAGAAAGTCCCTCTTCAACCTGGGTTTTGAAAATTGCTTTAAACATACTAGAAGAGTGCATCCCAGTAGTCAATTTTTTATTGTACACTGCTGTTTCAGCCTCTTTATCATCCATAACCAGTCTTCCTCCACTCATAACATTCATCCCATTTGATGAACCTCCATGTGAAATCACTGCCCCAATTGGAATAATGGTATATGTTTTCCTGGAAAGAAGATGAACATGAATCTCTGGACCAGACCTTCTTTTACCCAGGCATGAGTTTTCAGAAAACATCTACATCTCCCTTTGCTGTCTAGGTTCTTGACTTTTGACAAGAACAGCTTTATCTTCTGCAACTTCCTTGATTTCATCTTTCTTATTCCTTTGCATGATTACAGGTTCAGTTGGTTCCATCTTGATTACAGGTTCATTTGAAACTGATGATTCAACCGGATTCCACTCAAGAGTTGGTGTCCTCGATGAAATTTCCCGCATCAAAGCTTGAACTGACTTGGAAACTTCTTCAATCCAAACATCCTTTGGAGATGAGTTTAAATCTGATTCCACATTTTCCATTCCTTCCGAATCTTCTGGTGGCTTGATACAAGTTGATGCCGGTCTGACAGGAACAATTCCGGATTGCGAACTGGAAACTTCACATCTGGATTGCTTCTTAAGTAAACTGGTAGTAGCAATTGAAGCCTGTGAACCGAAGGATGATGTTGGCGATGACTTTTGCGAACTGAAGGAAGTTCTTGTTGATCTGGTTGACTCCTGTTTTGCTGTCTTCCCTGTCTTCTGTCGGTGTCTAGGTGGAAAATCCTTAATCAAATCTTCTTTTAGAGCCTCCCAACTATCTTCTCTCTTTTGAAAATCCCACCATTGAAACCAGCCGTCTGCTTCTTTCCCCATATCCTTTGCTGCCACGCCCACTTTAAATCTTTCCGCAATAGCTTGGACTCGGAAATATCTTTCCATCCTCCCTATCCATTCGTATGCTTCATGCTCGTAGAATAGAGGTAATTCCTCCTCCTTTGAAATAGCTGACTTCCGAGAAACTGCTTTAGAAGAAGAATAAGAGTGAAATTTCTCTGGTGATAAAGATGATGACTCTCCTCTCACTCGCGTCTCTCTTGAACGCGAACTAGGAGTCCTCCTTAGCGACTCAGTCTGTGACTTGGTGAGCGACTGCAATGAATGATGCCTATGGCTCCTTGTTGGAAGTGCGATGTTGTCAACCTCTCCCTGATGCGGAAATCGATGTGAGGTGTGCGATTGATTCCTCGATCGGTCTTCCGATGCCTCTGAGTTAGTCGATTATTGCTTATGTCGATGACGCGACTCCTTCTGCGAGTGAGAAATAGTTCGCGATTTCATCTGCGACTCCTTCTGCGATCGCGGATGATGAAAAGTGCGATGCGACTGGTGTGAAGAGTGCGATCGATTCAGCGAAGGTCCTGTAAGTTGGTTTATCATACCCGCGAAGCTAGCCTGCATATCGGCCATCATCGTGGCTAACCTAGCGTTTGTCTCCATCATTCTGTCCATATTATCAAAACTCTTTTCCATCTGCGGTGTCATGTAGAAATCCTCCATGATTCAGATTCTCGTCTCCAGGAATTAACGTGCTCTGATACCAATGTTAGGAACCCCAAGAATCCAGAACAATTATACAGAAAGATTAACAATGAAACAATCTGAAAATCTTTATTGAAGAGGAAGATCGATTACAGGAGAAAAGTAACAAGGCCGAAGCCTCCCAAAAGAGAAGAGAACGTGAGTCTCTAATCTTCCCAGTTCCCAGATCTAATGTCCAAAAAGCCTACTTACTACTCCCCCTTCCCGTCTATTTATAATAGAGACCTTTATTACTAATATTATTATTATTATTACTTCTATTATTAGTCTAATAGGTTGAACTGAAGGGAGCTCTTGAACAAAGGGAACCAACAATGAAGACAGCATCAATCAGGTATTCAGGTTTTATTTAAACCACATGCAAATGTTACAAAGAATTTGAAAATTTTATATTTATTTAATAACCAGCCATTCATTTATACAGAGTATTCATTACAGAGCATTTTTTATAAACAAAAACTAATGTTTTAAATTATATAGAATCATTAAAAAGTAACCACATTAAAGTTCCTAGTTTTACTTGTGCTGTTTATAGTGTGTCTAATGTTTTGCTTTTGACATCCAAGTCTGCCCTTGTGATATGTGGTTGAGAATAAGAGTGGCAACTCCGCAACTGGAAATATTAAATGAGGGTAGTAAAGTAAAGTAAAGAAAGGTAACTTTAATTAAAGAGGTTCACTACTCGTATGTATCTATATTTAGTGTAATGTCAGCTATTCAGCGAATGGTCCAATACTCAGATGCACTTCAGGTTATTCCAGGGCTCTGGATTAGTCTTCATTTGACTGTCGGGGTTACGCTACAGGTCATTTCAGGGTAATAATTTTTATTATATACGCAATATATATTTACACACACATATATATATACATACATATATACATGTTATTAATTACTTGATCCGGACTCCACTGAAAAAGTTGAGAAACAAAATAAAAAAGTAAGCACACTAACTTGATGGTCATCAAATATAACATCTTGAGTAGCAAAATGTGTTCCTATCTTTGATATGCAATGACAAGCAGGAAGGTTCCAAAGCGACAAAGATGGGCCACTTCCAAATGCCTATTTGAGTCAAATATTATAGTCATTTGCAAGTAACTCTACAAAATCTCCAAAAAAGGTTAAAAGGAAAAAAGTCATACCAGCCAGCTCTCACTTGCATCAAGAGCAATACAACTAATGTATGGAAAAGTTTCTTTATTCGCCTTATCTTTCTCCTGTTCAATTATTTGCACACACTTTCCACTTTTGCAATCTACAGTCAGAAGTTGCATGCAATTCCAGTAAATAAAAGGAGCAACCGTTATTTGCCTAAATGGCATCAAGATATGGAGTTATGATGCCTAGGATTTACCCCATATTCGCACTGTTCCATCTTCTGAACCAGTTATTACCTGATAAAAATAGAAAGTCAAATTATTACTGAATGCTCTTTTGGTGTTTGGCAAGCCAAATGGAGTACCAACAAAGGAAAACGACAAATTTCAGTATCAATGAATTTTTTTTATTTTGACCTGGTCATGAGAATTGCGCGCAGTAATGCAATGGAGATAGTCAGAGTGCCCCTTAAATACCATTTTAATTTCACTTCTCTCCTGATAATCATAATAAATAAGACTGGTAAGAAGATGTAATTTTGTAAGATGATAAAAGTATAAACATAGGGAAGTACAGAAGGTTTGAAAAAAGATCATACTCCGTATACGCTAGCAAAAAGTAAAACTTGTAAGAGTTAGTTACACTTGCCTTTCAAAAAGGTTGGCCAAATTACCCAATGACCCTCGAGTTTCTAAAAATGGCAAATCAGTACTCCCCTCGATTAGTCAACTATTCCGCAATCAAGATGAAATGATATAATGATATTATTATTAGGAAAAATATTTTTGGACTAAATTACTGTTAATATTTGTCAAGAAACTTATTTTTAGTGAAAGCTTCAAATACTTTAGATGTTAAATTGCATGAAAACACTAAATTTTATGTGAAGGCACACAGTCTTGATAATATTATTTAGGAGTATATTCTAACATATTTTCATGTGAAGATGGTCATTTGTGGAAAGTCTTATTGGTCAAGGGGCAGCATTTGTAATTTCATAAACTCTGAGCCTCTGAGGGTCATTGGGCAATTTGAACAACCTCCAGGTAGGATGATGTAATTAACCCAAGGCTTGACAGTTTAACATGTCACCTTTAACAGATGCACATACCAAATCCCAGCAATATGCACATGAATCACCAGCAGCAGCAAATACTGATCCATTCTGTGAATAAAAACAGATAAATGCATGCCACATCAATCACTGGAGAGTAATGAGCATGGAAACGTTAAATAGGTGAATGTTGCTCTTACAGTAATTAATTTTCATCCAGCAAGAAATTAAGTCTTTTTGGTTTGAAATAGAGTCAAGGAAGTATTCAGAATAAAATGCCATAAAGATGAACATAAAACAGTTTGTTGCACATTGACAGTTTAGTATTCATTTTTAGAGATGTATAGTAGAAGTGTAGAACTTCGAACCTGGGGATTAACAGCAATAGCATTGTTCTCTGGGATTGGTGAAAGTGAACCCCATGGACCCCTAAGATGTGAAGAATAGATTTAAAAAACACATAGTTAGATTGTGTCAAATTGTCAATCGATAGGTCATTTATTCTTGGTATCCACTACCGCCCTTTGTGCGTGTGCAAAAATGAAATACCCCTCCATCGAAAAAAGAATCACGTTTTCTGTCCAAAAAAAGAATCATGTTTTCATCAAGGTACAACCGTACAATTATTTATTTTTAATAAAGAACAACTCTTGTAAACTATCAATCCTACTTATTTTAAAACATATTAACTTATTAACTTATTCAATTAAATTTGACATACCTAAAATTACATTAACATGGTGAAATTAACTTCTTCTGTTGAAATACTCCCTATGTTCCAAAATTTTGTTCCCACTTTCCATTTAGGGCCAGCTGTCCCCAAAAGTTTTCTCATTTCCTTTTATAAAAATGTGTTTTGTGATTCATATAAACCTCAACCACACACTTTCACTTCCTAAAAAGGGCACTAGCTGAAAAGTAAAAAACAAATTGGGACAGGGGGGCAGTTTTGGAACATGACCCCCATTTTTTGTATGGAGGGAGTAGCTTACCACCATAGATGCAAAATCATAGGTGAACTAACTTAAGCTGAGGATTCAGAGTCATGTACTGGCTTTAAAATTGGTTTATTATCAAGAAAAATCATCCAGGTTATGTGTGTGAGACATAAATAAAACATATGCACGTAGATAACAAATAGATTAAGAAATGAAAAATCACATATCTTTGTTAATACTCCCTCCGTCTTGTTGGAGTTGCCGATTGGCATGTTCAATAAGAAAATAAAAGGTGTGGCAGAGATTTGTGCAAAGCAGAGAAAAATAATAAAAACCACAAATAACTCAGGAAAAATGGCAAAGCTTATAAAGAAAAAGAAATTCGGCAAACTCTAGTGGGACGGCAGTAGTATGACTTTAAAGTTGTTGAGGAACTGACTTGTGTTGAGGATTGACCAAGTCAATTACTGGCTTTGAATTGATTTCTGCAAACAAAAAATAAAGTTTTTGTCAAGTGCCAGTTCTAATGATCAAATTTTAGGAAAAGGTGATGACAACTAAATAGAATAGTTAAAAATGTGGTATGAGTAGGTGAATAGCTTCATGCAACTCAAATTACCTTGAGTAGATTTGTTTGATTCAGACATTTCTTTCCATTTCCATCCCCGAATTCGACCATCATCACCACAACTAACATAATAACATTTAATAAACTGGAATTACAGCAACACATGCCCGTAAATAAACATATACGGAACAGGAAGATGTTTTACTTGAATGTGACTTATCTTCTACTGGCACATAACATGCATGTGTCCATATTAAATGACATTCAAAACATGAATATATTAAAGCTCCTCGTTTTGGCGCTTGTGAAAAACTATATTAGCCTATCGAAACAAACGACTCCTCAAAAGTCAAGACATGTCAACCTCATTGAGAACATTAAAAAAATGATATTACATATGCACTTCAGTTGCCATTTAACCACTTTTATAGATTAGATAATGCTTACTACTCTTTGCTAGGGGATGTATTTGAAATGGGAGGTCCTCAAGAATATTGCACTTCTGTTTAGATAATGCTTACTGCTCTTTGCTTACCTCAAGAATACCTTACATAAATGCCGAATTCGGGTATTACCTTAACAATATGGAATCCTCATTGTTGCTGTAAAAAGTAATGTCATAGGCAGGTCCATCATGCCCTTGAACCCTCCAATTAGGCTCTGCAAGTGGCGCTAACAACCTATACCAAAATCACTGTATTCATAAGGGAATATATCAATGAACTCCCAGAGGTTTGGCATGATATTAATTGCACACCTTTGGTTTCAAAATATACAATTATGGCCTTGAGGTTTAAAAAAATATCAAAAGAACCCCTACCGCTAAATAAAATTTAGAATTCACCATCTTTGACTTATAAAAACACCAAATTTCTCTCATTGATAGAACATTATAATAATATAACAAAATCACAATGTAAAAAAAGATAAGAGCTTCCTCTAAATATTAGTAAAATTTAATTTAGGGACAAAAATGTGACTAAAGTTACAATGGGTAATGCCGTTATAGTCACTCCAATATAAAACGGAACATAATTATAGTCACCTTTGTTATTGACATAGTCATTATGTATGAAAAGTCATATTTTCCACTATCTTTATTCTAGTCCTACATTAGTCACTATTTCAAAATATAAACATTAAATAATAAAATATAATACGTAGTATTAAATTATATAAAAACAAATAGTAAAATGTAATAAGTTTTTAACTTTTTAAAAATATACAATCTTTTAAACTTATACACTTTAAATTACAAATTATAGTCAAATAGGAAAGATATAGTTTCATTATTATTATGAATATGAATGCATAATAACATGCATATGGTCAGGCTCATGTATACCATGGTTTCTTATCTAAATTAATAAATATCCATATATAAATGAGTGTGACAGAAATTATTGGTGTTCTTACTACTTCTATTGTACAAATAATCAAATTCATATTCACCTGTGCACCCAGGTGAGCTATTATAATAATAAAGAAGTACTCCATATTAATTTAATAAACGTATATTTAATTGCTATGTAATTTAACGTGATTAAAAACTCTAGTAAAAAACTTAATAAATTTAGAACTTTTGATATTATTTATTTTTTGATATATATAAATAATTAAAAATACTTTTTTTACATTAATATAACATTACTATATTATAATACGGAGTATTTTATTAATGAGTATTAAGTAATTAGGTATTTTTGATACATAAAAAATTTTCAATTTTAACTTCATCTAGCTTTAGTGGGCTTTTGATTTTTCTTTAAACCTGGAATAGATAATTGTCTATAGCTTTGGTCAATGAGATTATATTTTCCGTAATCAAATCGACCAAGAAGAGGAAGGAAAAAACTGCAGACAAAAGTAGAGAAATTGAGCATAAACTTACCTCCCAGATTCGAAATTCTCGCGATTCAAACACTAAGACAGAAATAAGTAACGAACAATAAGTAAACAGGAAAAGACTGAGGATTCCAGAAAAAACATAAATAGGAAAAAAACAAAAATGTAATAAAAAGGATAGATTAATTGCTTACGAGGAGGGAAGAGATGGAGTATGAGGCAATGGAGCCGTCGCTCGTGGCGGCGAATAGGCAGTCGGGAGTGGAGTTGCAGCTTATGTTAGGGCCAAAAGTGGTTCGGAATACGGTTCTGCACTGAGTTTCTCTCTCTTGAAGAACTGACTCCCTATAGGAGTCTTCGTTCCAGTTCCTACAATCCATCACCATTTTCGAGTTTTCAGGGAGTGAACGTGAGCGGGGGACAAGTTCTAAAATGTTCAACCAGAGTGATGCAGGCTAGAGCAACCTGCGACGTCGTTTTCAACAAAATTTTCTATTGCTACTTACAAATGGACCCTTTTAAAGGCGAGTAGTCTTGTCTCCTCAGGCCGGTTTGATCAAACCGTAATGAAGTCCCCTCCATTTGAGGTAATTATTTTTTGATAATAAACTGTGGGCTTTCATGTTAAAATCGAGAAAAGATACAAGGTAACATTCGGACAATTACAAATCCGATTGTGAGCCCTAGGAATAGACACACGGAGTATAATTAGTCACTTCATACAAAACAATCTGATTCGCTAGATTAGGAGCGAACAAATTAAAGCCTAAAACTAGGGGTGGGCATAACGGTTTGGTTTAACCGAACCGTACCAAACCGAACTAAACCGAACCGAAACCGAACCGTATGCAATTTGGTTTTAGTTTGGTACTATTTCTTTCAAACCGTATTAAACCGAACCGAACCGAACCGAAACCGATAAAAACCGAACAAAACCGAACAAAACCGAACCGAACCGAACAACACACACACACACTTTGTATTTATCTTCACTCTTCATTTTAAGATATAAATAAAAAATTTAGACATGAAAATGCATATTTAAGCATATACTCGTATTATTTTAACTTTTACACATTTCAAACATTCATTATGACAAAGTTAGCTAATACGACATATTTGTATTTATTATGGTTGGCGATATCAATAGCAAATTGTATTTATATTTCTATTTCTATTTCTGTGTGAGTCTTTGGTTTAGTTTGTTTCAATTGGTTTAGCAGGTGAAGGCAGGTTGTTTAAGCTAGGTTCTAGTATTTCATTTAGTTGGAATTTCAATTGGCAGGTTGTTTAAGCAGGTGAAAGCAGGTTGTTCAATTGGTTTGGTGAAGGCTGGTTCTAGTATTTCATTTAGTTGGAATTTCAATGAAAACAAAACATTCAAAATTACTCTTTACTCAAAGTGGATTGTAACATATGAAACAAGACATAATCATTTTCAAGTTTATAAACCGAACATCAAACCGAACACCAAACCGAACCGAATTTTTCCCAAACCGAACCGAAACCAAACCGAAATTCTTTTGGTTTGAGTTTGGTACTATTTTCCTCAAACCGAATAAACCGAAACCGAACCGAAACCGATAAAAACCGAACCGTAAACCGATTCGCCCACCCCTACCTAAAACAATCGGGACTGAAGTACTGTCTATCAAACGTACTTCATAAGTCCAAATTTCCAAACCAAACCTACTAAAACTAAAATAAAAACAACTACTACTAATGAAAAAATAAAATTGACATAAATCTTTCCACAAAATTCTTCATGGTACGGAGGTGGTTCTGGAGGTGAACGAGCTCTACCAATGTTTATGCACTCTAGAAGAAAGTCGACAAAAATCCCTGACCAGACACTACTAGCCAGAACACGAACATAACTCCCCACATCAAGAGAGACAAACCACCCCAGAGCACCAGTGTCCCGGAAAGAACCGCCATTGAACAAAATCAACACAACCACAAGAGAATAATGATCCAATCAAATCATACATCTACTAAGAATCTCTGAGTGTTGATGTCACCATTGGATAGTTGGATCACTGCATCACTGGATTGAGATACACAGACTGAGAATATGAAAGTTAATGGGAGAAAGCTAATGAAGACTTGAATTGATCTAATCGTGCTTCGCGGCGCTAACCCATTTGAGGTGATCTATGAAGCACGGATACTTCACTAGAGTACCGTATCGGCGTATCGAAAACGTTCCTATATCCGATACTCTAGGATACCCGTATCGTACGTTTCCGGACCGTATCTGCAATTTTTAAAAGTTTCCATTTTTTTGTTTATTATTTTAAAATTTCGGATACTCGTATCCTGACGGATACCCATATCAACTTTTTTTAAAAACAATCTTCCAAAAAAACTTTTTAAAAAAACACTCAAAAATCACATAATAAAATTCTTAAAAAAATGAAAAGTTAAAAATATTTTTTTACCTTGTTTTTATGTGGTACACAACTAATGGGCCTATTCCTAATTCACTCATTCTCCTATCCCTAGTTCTAATTATCCCCGTAAATTAATAGCTCCAACGGAAATATGTTTTAGAACTTTTAAAATATTGTTTTCAAAACGGTAGTTGTTTGACTTATTTCTCATTTTAAATTAATGACGTATTGACTATATTTATGTTTTGATGTGCATTAGTTTATATGAGATAAAATATGAACTTATTTCTAAGTATCTTGAGAATGTAAAATGCTTCAATGCCATTAATGAGTAGACGTCAGAGGATAATATATGCCTTTTTTTAAAAAAAAAATTGTATTTTTAATATTTATAAATACATCCCTGTGACTTTTAATATTTATAAATGCACCCCCATAACTTTTAATATTTATAAATATGGCCTCGTATCCGTATCCTACTTTTTTTGGTTTTGTCGTATCCCCGTACCCGTTTCTGCGTTTCCGCGTACCCGTATCGGTGCTACATAGGAGGTGATTATAGATGGTTTTTTTATTAAATTTTGATAGGCTGTTTTTTGAAGTCTAATCCGTAATATGTTCATAACATTTCAACTTAAATTTCAATCGGTAAATTAGTTAAAAATAGCATCAAAATATATGTAAAAGCACGCAACATTTTTTAAGAAACGGAGAGATGGTGGTGCTAGTTACCAGACCCGTCTGGATTTCTGAGAAAGTCTTCTCTCTAAAAAGGAAAAACCGGGCTTCAAGTGATTTTGAGAAAGCAATTTAATTCTATTAGTTTTTTTTTTTTTGCATTGGTCAGGATTTTACTATGATTTTGTTTTTGTTTTACTTTTGTCAGACTCTGGAGTTTAAGTCGGATGATGGAAGATCTGTTTTGACCGTCTTTGACTCAATTATTTACCATTATAATATAGGGAATCGTCAAACGGCTTGCGGCTGCAACACTACAACACAACTCACTTTGTTTCCGATATTTGGTAGGGTTCTAACGGCATCTTTCGGGTTTGTATGAAAGGGCTCGATGCTATATTGATCTGCGGCAATTAGTTTACACAAAGTGGTTCTCCCTAGCTTTCATCTAGGGTTTGACATTTCGTCAAGCGGCTTGCGCCGTTTCTTGTCCGACAAATGATTTGGAGCGACAGTGGAATGACGGCCGTTCTGCCTCACCATGGTCTGCTCCTCTATGTTTGATGGTTTTGGGTGTGCTGCTATGGATCAAATTTGGAGGTATGTGATTGATACTTTCGATTGGAAAATCTCTTGGCAATTTCTAGATCGAGTTCTGAGTAAGGGAGAAGACAAATTGGTGGTCTACTCTGTTAGGAAATTGATGTAACGTACCTCAAAAGTACAGCAACAGAAGTTTAAAAGTTTCCCAAACAGATCTTCAATTCCCTGATTATGACAAAACAACGAATATAACAATAATAGCATATCTGAGTTAGAACTTACAGATCTTTCAACCTAGCGGTGATAATCTTTGACCTTACGTATCCACGTGGTTTGTCCTTTTCGAAAGAACATTTAGATATCCCACAGAGAAAGGTTAGAAAATCTCTTCGCATGGAAAGTATAGAGAATTTTGCTAGTTATTACGGAGTATGTCGTTAGAAGGATCTATATGACCAGTGATTGTTGTGTCACACTCGTTTAGTAGTTAACGATTCGTATTGCTCTCTCAGGGATAGTCGTTTCTAAATCTAAATGTTTGCTCTCTCAGGGATGGTCGTTTCTAAATCTAAGGATGTTTTTACTTGGACTGTAATTCGTCCCAGATCAGACTATAATAGTTATAAAAATACAAAGAAACCAGACCATACCAGACCAGCAAATTACAGTCCAAGTAAAAATAAGTAAGTAATAATGTTGGTTACGGATAGTACTAGTTGGTTACGGATAGTTGTTGTAATAGTGTTGGCCTCTTTGAGTCAAAAGTAAGTAATAGTGTTGGCCTCTTTGAGTCAAAAGTAAGGTTGATAGTGTTGATCTATTTGAGTTTGTTTTAAAATCCGAACTCTAAAGATATTAATATGGTTTTTCTTAGGGGCGGGCAAGAATCCCGGTCCCGTTGTCCCATTCCGGTATATCCCGAAACCGTACCGGTGTTGTCCCATTCCGTTTGGGCCTCATTGATTTTGTCCCGCACCGGTCTCGTACCGGTTTAAAATGGGACCGGACCGGGGCATTGGAAGGTTATCCCGAACCGTCCCGTTGTCCCGTTTGTAATAACTATATGGATTTTGTAGCATGTGACTAGTGTGTAATGTCAACTCAAAAAATAAATGGTAACATGTTTTTAGTTCTTCAAGCCCAATTTTTAAATTAAAAATAATACCAACATGAATATTTACTAACATAGATTTTTATCCCACATTGTATATCTACATATGAGTATCTCACAGCTAGAACACATGATTTTGAATAAACTAATTCATTTTTGCTTTGTTTTAAATTTAAATTTCAAATTTTGCTAAACCTAACTAAAATCTAATACGTAGTAGCTTTTAGCTTGTGATGAACATCAATTAACTTTTAAAATGTTAATATTTTGTTGCATGATACTTTAGAAATGCTAATATATATTAATTACAAATGATTATTTTTTGCTAGTTTGGGACGTCTCGAAGAACCGTTCCGAACCATCCCGGTCCCGATTTAAATGGGACAAGACTAGGACAAAGGCTTGTCCCGTACCGTCCCGTTATTATTAATTGGGACGGGACCGGGATAACCCTAATCCCGGACCGTCCCGACCCATGCCCACTCCTATATCTATATGCTCCGTAGAAGATAGGGTGTTGACGAGAAGGATAAAACATTAAAACGTGACACTGTTTTGTTTTTGTACAACACTATGACGAGGTACTTACACATATACGGAGTACATGCTGTTCTATCACTATACGATACTATACGTGAACTGAAAAACTACAAACATATATCATACTACTGCACACCGCCCTAAATATTTACATTGTGTCCAAAGTCCAAACTATAGAGATTGAAGCAAACCATATCACAATATCATACATCATAAATACATCATCCCGCCTTCCCCATTTCTTCATTTTTCATTCATTGCTGCGGGCCCTCCACGGCTTCTTCTTCCCAGGAATGCACTTGCCATCATACATACCATCAACGCTGCAGCAAAACATTGTTAACCTCAAATATATAATGTGAATAAATGCTGATTACAGTATTAATTAAGCTGCTGAATTTCAATCAGAAAATGAAAACTCTTTGTTGTAGTTATGTTAAATTTTAGTTGTTTATTTCATACCCATCCCGGGGGCCTGGCGATCAGATTCTCCAGCTCGTGGACGATCTCGGAGTGTTGTTTAGCGGTCTCGGCCTCGTTGTTCTCATAGATCATGTCGTCCTCAACCAGCTTCTCCCACAGAATGAAATTCTCAGAGTTCATCTCGGGACTCCCTATTGCTCCTGCAAGATTGTTGTTGTTGTTGCTCTTCATGTTGCTATTATTATTCATCTTATGTTGTTCCTGGACGGGGCTACTCGAATCCTCGGAAGAGAAGAGTGTCTGAATCTCAGATTGAAGCATCACCAATTCCTCTTGGGGGCCGGGAAGATGATTAGTGCTGCTACTCATCGTCCCGTCAACCAATCTTCTCTTCTTCGCCGCCCTCACGCAGCCGCCGCCAGCGTTCCTCTGCCTCATTTTCTCGGTGAAGTGCTGGACGAAGAAAGGGTTCTTGAAAGCTTTGACTACGAAGAAGACGATGTACTTGTGTCGGTTCTCTGTGCTCTCTAACCGCTCCTTCACCATTGCGAGATGGTTGTTCGTCGTCTCCTGTTGTTGCTTTAGCCTCATGATTTCAGTCCTCATCGCATCTTGGTTGGTCCTGAGCTTGCATAGCTCAGCCTGAGACTCGTTGCAAGAGTCGAACCACTTGTGAGTCACCACGCCTGCTGGCGGCGGCGCCTGGATCATCTGCGGATGGTGTTTCCTCCTCTTGATGCTGTTCAGCAAATGTTTCTTCCCTTTCTGGAACCCTTCGTTCGCAAATTCCCATCTGTCTGAATCTATTTTCCTGAACCGCTAAAACAAATTTCCCACCAACAAGTTTGATTCAATTGCTAGTTTAACTTTACAAAAAAAGCAAATTCAAACGCCTAAACTAAGGAAATGTTCAAACTAAACATGGACGTATCTAGTCTAAAACTAATGGAGATAAATTTACAAAAACAAAAATCAAACACCCTACCCTTCCCTAGAAAATCCCCAAACAAAACTGACCCAAACATTTCCTGGGATGCTAGCCTATACTTCTTTGCCAAACTTACTTGCCACTTGGTCATTCCAAAAACCTCAACCGCATAAATTTTACTTCCCATGTGCCAGTAAACTCTAACAAAATGGATGACACCCATCCCGGAGGGTACCACAGTCGGCCGGATGCCAGGATAGCCAGGATATTTATCGAATATTGAGCTTTAATCACACACTAGTTAATCACACACCAGTGGACAGGCCCGGTCCTGACATTTTATGGGCCCGGGACAATACAAATAGACTGGGCCTTAGGGATAGCGCGCGAAAATCTATAATTTAAAGTTATAGAATTTTACCGTCAAAATACGAGTATAACACATAAAAAACTAACAAAGCATATGGTTAGAAAATATATAAAGAGCGAATTGATAAGTTCAAAATACGAGTATAACACATAAAAAACTAACAAAGCATATGGTTAGAAAATATATAAAGAGCGAATTGATAAGTGACATTCGAGGATACAATGTAACTAACAACCGAATGAAACAAGTAGTGCAACTATTAGGCGCAATAAAAATTTCGAATCAAGGGAATTTGTTGAAAGTTATATCTTGTATGAGTAACTTTTTCATATTTTAAATCACATTTTCACTAGACAAAAACAAATTCTTAGTTTCTAAATTATGGACACTAAAGTTCAATCTTTCACTAAATGAGAGAATCGGAAGAAATTTGTGAAATATATCAATGGATATACATAAGACATGTACACTAAAAGATTAAAATTAATGTAATAATCCTTAATGATTCAAAAGAAATGGTGAAATATGTTCCCAATGAATTCTAATGTGGATGTTTCAAAATTATGGACTTGTATTGTGTACATGGTAAATAACAAATTAGAAGTATCTAAAAATATAAGTTTGATTTTATTTTTTATTTTTTATTTTTTATAAAATATAATTTATATATATTTAAAATATTTATGTACATACATACACACATATTTGAAAATTTTATGGGCCCTACTGGAGCAAAGGGCCCTGGGCACATGCCCCTCCTGCCCATGCCCCAGGACCGGCCCTGCCAGTGGAAATCACATACTAGCATCTAACAGCTACTTAGAGATGGCAAGGGAAAGGTAACCAGGGCTATTGGACTAGAATTTAACAGACTGACTTCTCCCCCTGTGGGACCTCTTACCACATGAGCTATGCCGCACCCCCACAGGCTGAGCTACGCCTCCAAGTTTCGGAGGAGGAGGGAGTATAAGCTTAATACGACCTCTTCGGATCCAGAAGTTTTATTCTTTTATGTGTATCAGAAACTCATATCAAGACCATAAACCAAACAAGTGATAAATTTTACTTGGTCATTCCAAAAACCTCAATAGCATAAATTTTACTTTCCATGTGCCAGTAAACTCTAACAAAATGGACGACATCCATCCCGTAGGGTCCCACAGGCTGCCGGATGCCCAGATATTTATCGTATATTGAGCTTTAGATCCCGTTTGGTGTTCGTGATTTTTTGATTTCGCACGCTGAATCAATTAAAATAGGTGTATTTTCCTGGCCGGAGTTATTTTTCTAGTCCAATAGCCCTGCTTACCTTTGCCTTGTCATCTATAAGCTGTTAGATGCTAGTATGTGATTTCCACTGATGTGTGATTAACTAGTGTGTGATTAAAGCTCAATATTCGATAAATATCCTGGCATCCGGCTGAGTCCGGGACGGGTGTCATCCATTTGTCTCCGTAATAATAGGAAAATGTAAGGCCAGAGTTATTTTTCTTCTGTCTATATTGATCATTTTAATTACTATTCATATAATTTTTTCTTTATTTTATTAATAAAACATATTTTACATATAATTTTCAAATAAAACAACTGAATCGGTCAATCCACCACTTCAGCTAGCTAGAAGTTTGTAAGTTTGTAAGTTTCAACTGGATCAAATTCAACCTATTTTCGTATGAGCAAAAACGGGCTCTTAATCACATACTAGTGGATATCATAGACTAGTGGATGTAAGTATGTAAGAGAGACTAACTTCTCCGGGACCCTCTTCCCACCTGAGCTACGCCCCACCAGCTGGGCTACGTCTCCATGTTTTATGGAAGGAGGGAGTGTAAGCTTAATACGACCTCTAGGAATCCCAAACAAGTGATAAAAACTTCACAGATGTTTCTGAAATTCACATAACTAGAAAACAATCATTGATGAATTGGAATGCTTACATATGTGTTGAGCTGGCGAATGAAACTGGAAAAATTGTTGTGCTTGAAGTACTTGGGCAGAACATCAGTGGATAGCTTGTGCGGGTCCCAGACAACGAAGCTGCTCCGGGTCGAGGTCCATGATATAACCGGGTCAGTGTTCGGGTCGTCCACCATGTCATACGTCTTCCTCAGGAACGGCGGCGGGCCCATCTCCCTCAGCCCCTCAGCGGGTTTCGGAACTGAACACATATCTCCGCCGCCGCCCGGGATGCTATAAGCGTCGTCATCGAGAAAATACACCACCGGTTCTTCTTTCACGGCATTGGCTTGATCGGGCATCATGGTATGCATCTCCATCTGGGGAATTTACAAAATCGTTTCTTTTGCTGATTCTGGTGAGGGTTTCTTTGAATTTTTCAGTTTAACAGGTGGGAGAGTATGGGTTTATAACTATCTCTTTATACAGAGTAAGCAACTGCCAGGGATTTTGGGGGTTTTATTATAATGTTTATCGCAGGGGATATATTTAAGGGAGTGAGGGCGGTGACGGTGGAGAAGTGCAGATGGCCAAATGTGAAAAAGAGATGTGGAATGGACCGTTCTCTTCGGTGCTGCCATTTGTAGTTCTCATCCTTACACTTCATCCACCTCCTCATTTTTTCACAAAATTCTTTCATCACCCATAATTTTTGCACGTTCCAAAGATTAACCCCTGCGAAAAAAAAGAGTTTACATTTTTACAATAAGAAATATGGTGCATTGGTGCTTGACCTATGAAGCACGGATACTTCCCTAGGGTGCCGTATCGGCGTATCGGAAACGTTCATGTATCCGATACTCTAGGATACCCGTATCGTACGTTCCCGGACCGTATCTGCAATTTTTAAAAGTTTCCATTTTTTGGTAATTATTTTAAAATTTCGGATACTCGTATCCTGACGGATACTCGTATCAACTTTTAAAAAAACAAAATCTTCCAAAAAAATCTTTTTAAAAAAACACTCAAAATTTACATAATAGAATTCTTAAAAAATGAAAAACTAAAAATAATTTTCCCTTGCTTTTATGTGGTACACAACTAATGGGCATATTCCTAATTCACTCATCCTCCTACAGTCTTATCCCTAATTTTAATTATCCCTGGAAATTAATAGCTCCAATGACAATATGTATTAGAACTTTTAAAATATTGATGTTTATCTTCATTATTCTAGATATTTGAGTACTTGCACTTTTAATTTCAAAACTGTAGTTGTTTGATTTATTTCTCATTTTAAACTAATGATTTATTGATATGATTATATTTCGAGGTGCACTAGTTATGAGATAAAATATGAACTTATTTCTAAGTATTTTGAAAATGTAAAATGCTTCAACGTGAGAGGAAAATATATGTCTATTTTTTTTTTTTGAAAAAAAAGTGTACTTTTAATATTTATAAATACACCCCTGTAACTTTTAATATTTATAAATACACCCCTATAAGTTTTAATATTTATAAATATGGCCCCGTATCTGTATCCTACTTTTTTTTGTTTTGTCGTATCCCCGTACTCGTTTCCGCGTTTCCGCGTACCCGTATCGGTGCTACATAGTGCTTGACTGTCTGGTAACAATCATTATTTATCGGGGAACTATCAAATATGCCCTCGAATTTACATAAAAGTGCAAATCACCCCTTGTATAGGAGGCTCTGTCCGGCCGTCGCCATTTGGGGCGGTTCCCGGTGGAATTTTTTGATGAAACTTTTTGAGCAACTTCTTCATTAAATCTAGTTTACCCATACCAAATTTCAACTAAAAAAATAACCGGGAAGGCAGTCAAATGATTTTCTAAAATATACTGCGTTGTTTAAAATATACCGATTGAATTTTTAGTTGAAATTTGGTATGAGTAAACTAGACTTAATGAATAAGATTTTGAAAAAATTCATCAAAAAATTCCACCAGGAACCACCCCAAATGGCGACGGCCCGAACAAATCCTCCTATATAAGGGGTGATTTGCACTTTTTATGTAAGTTCGAGGGCTTATTTGATAGTTCTCCCTTATTTATCAATTTTCCTCACACGCAAACATGCTTATCTTAAGAATTTCATCACAAAATACAAAAGTTTTCTCACCCACAACTAGGGCTGTGCATTAACCGAGTCGGACTGTATTTTAGAATTGAACCGGACCGGAATGAACTGGTCCTGACCGGACCAGTATTAACGGGTTTGGATTTCGATCCTTGGTTTTTCAAGATTTTGGGTTTCTATCCAGTCCGGATCAAACCCGGGAGAAACAAGTCCGAACGGGAATGGACCGGTAAACTATTGTTCCGTAAAATATATATTTCGTTCTGTATCATTAGTCATTATGTTTATCGCTTACTTTTGTCTTTTATTATATAGACGAATATATACGGAGTGTATATTTGGTGTCTAATGATTTCCTAAGTTGTTTTTGATTTGTTTATTTATGTGCAGGTGTGCACTACTTTTTTTATGGTTGGTGTGCACTACTATGATCGTAGTTTATATTTGTTTGATTTTTCCAAATTGTTTTTTTATTTGTTTCTTTATTTGCAGGTGTGCATGTAGTTTATACATAATATATTTTTGGACGTAATTTAGTCTTTATTACTCTACAATAGATTTTGCCATTTTAATATACACAAAAGATTGCAGTTTTAATTATTGCGGGAAACTAATTGTTATGATTGAATAGTTTTGACGACTATATTCCAAAATTAATAAATGAGCTAAACAATTACTTAGTCTATTTAGCATATCCGCACATAAAATTATGATTTGAAACAACATCAACATCCAAGCCTTATTCCTAAAAAAAATTGGGGTCGGCTAAGAACACTCAAAGATTATATGACTCTTTTTTAAAACCGGGTCAATTAGGGTCAAAACCGGACCGGACCAGAAAACTCAGGTCTAGACCGATCTGGACCGGTTAGATTCAGGTCCGGTCTTCGGTCCATAGAAAGTGATGATTCCGGCCCGGTTTTGGACCGGTGCACACCCCTACCCACAACACATGGTTGACATGGGAATTGATTTGTGTGTTCATAGCATTGATTTGAGTATTAGACCATTTCTAGTAGTGTAGGATTAGACCATTTGTAGATGGGGTTAAAAGTGGGAAAGAAAATGAAAGGAGTTAAAACTAGAGGGTGGATTGAGAAGGGCAAAGAAAAGGAAAACGAAAAGAAAAGGAAAACGAAAAGAAAAGAAAAGAAAAGAAAAGAAAAGGGGAAGGGAAAACCAGGATCCGGAGACTCTGCCTTGATTTAGAGCAAGGTAGAGTGTCCGCCTCTTCATGGTCGTCCGATCGAAATATCAAGGGCGAGAGATTTTGGGGTTCACTCCTTCGCCAATCTCGAGGAAGTGGTGGTTGGTTGGTTGCTATCTAACCATCCCCAGTCGCAAGGTACTATGTTGTAGAACATAGAATCTCGACCCAGGAAACCGACAGCGCATTGCATGGAAGTGGGGGTGATGCAATCTCTGTGTCATCCCCGCGTCATTATAACCCCAAAGTTTTCAAACATTTATAACTTTTTTATTTGTTCTCCGATTTTTTCAAAAAATATATCAAAATTGATGAATTTTTATGTTCTTTCATATGACGCCAATATGTAATATATAAATGTCAAAAAATCTGAAGTTTTAACTGTTGGAGTTTTCTTGAATCCTGAAAATACAAAAATACACATTTTTAATTCATGGAAACTCCATAAATAACAACATATTTCATAACAGAACTTTATGTTTTTACATAGAAAAACGTTAAAAAGAATTGATGAAATTTATATATTTTTACATAGAAATATGAATGTTTTTATTTCATAATTATTTGGGGGGGGGGGGGGGGGATAAAATAAAAACATTACTTATAAGAGAAAGGGGGCAAATAAGCCCACATACTAACCAAAAAATGTCAAATAAGCCCTTATATTGGAGGCTCTGTCCGGCCGTCGTCATTTGGGGCGATTCCCGATGGAACTTTTTGATACATTTTTTGAGCATCTTATTCATTAAGTCTAGTTTACTCATACCAAATTTCAGCTAAAACTTCGATCGGGAAGGCATTCAAATGACTTCTTGAAGATAATTGCGCACTTAAAAGGGCAATTATCTTCAAGAATTCATTTGAATGCCTTACCGATTGAATTGTTAGCTGAAATTTGGTATGAGTAAACTAGACTTAAATAATAAGATGCTCAAAAAAATTTATAAGGGCTTATTTGACATTTTTATAAGGGCTTATTCTACCGGGAACCGCCTCAAATGGCGACGGCTGGACAGAGCCTCCTGTATAAGGGCTTATTTGACATTTTTATTAGTATGTGGGTTTATTTGCCCCTTTTCTCTACTAATAATAATTTTAAGTATTATTACTTTAGATCATTTTAAATATAAAATAGGCATTTTAGTCTCATTATATATATGTTTAGTCATTAATATAAGCAATCAAATTTAGAGGAACTCCTTGTGTTTTAATCATATCCCGATAAGATTCCTAAATCTATAGTTTTGAGTGATATTCATATAAGGCTTTCAAAAACTAACACATAAGTCATAAGATGTTATAAATTGTGTATCAATAATTTCAAACTATCCTGATACACTACCTGAAATATCAAACACGTACAAGTTTTAAGGCTCACTTAGTTGTCTAATTTAAATTTTCTCAACAACATCTTTGACACGGTGAGCGTATCATGACCCACCATTTTTATCACACCTATTTATTCATGGTTACAAGTAAAAGTAAAACAGGCTCGATGTTTGTCGCATGAGGTCTTAGTCTCAAGATCGTACAGTTGTATAGCTTTTACACTACTGCGAACTATTTATATGGTAGTTCCCGCTGCCCCTTGAGTCCAGCCTTCAACCATGGCTTTTGATTGGTTGATAATATGCTGCGCTGAAGAAGCTTTCTGATCCCCTGCCAAACACGATGTAAGGTGTTAGAGACTGTATAACTAACACTACATAAAATTTCATTTATAGAGGCAACTCATTGGGGCAACCTATATATTATTGTCTCTAAAAACCTGTTTTTGCATCAAATGGATAATGGTTGCCTCTAAAAAGTGCTATTTGAGGCAACCTTGCTTTCTTTGCCTCTAAAAGGTGCTATTTAGTGACACAATTGTATGATTGCCTCTAAAAAGTGTTTCTTGAAGCAAACTTTATGGTTGCCTCTAAAAGTGTTACTTAGAGACACTTTTATGATTGTCTGTAAAAGTTAATTATACTTTTAAGAGACCATTTCGTAACCGTGTTTTTTGACTTTTCAGACAATTTTTTCACCAAAAACGTAAATTTTGATTTATTTCATTAAATTGTGTAATGATCAAAATAAGTAATGTCGGAGTTATTTTCCTAGTTGCATTAAATGAAGTTATTGTAGAAGGTCATTTTAGCTATTTTCATATGATATTTTCTTTATTTTAATAATGAAAAGTTATTTTTATAAACCAACATAATCAGTCAATACAGTCATTTCACAATTAAAATTTAATCAATTTAACAGAATTACTCGATTTATCTAATTTTGCTATTATGCTTTAAATCTAATTAATAC